GAGCTTCCTTCTTTTCCCTCCCCTGCCCTCCTTTATGCTGGTCTCTTTTAGTTCCCTCTCTTCCAAAATCTCCTTTTTTCTCTCTCAGCTATCCTTTCTTATTCATCTACTGTGAGCTATGCCGTTATTTTCAGGAAACCCTCTGGGTTTCCTCCTCCTAGAGGTTTAGCCTGGAGTCAGAACCACCCACCCATAGTCATAACAGACAAAATAATTGAACTGAAACCTCATGATGTGTAAGCCCAGACCTATGGTCAACCCCTGTGAAGTTGGTGATTAAAACACTCTTACTTGCTAAGTCCTGAGCCTTCTGAAAGCAGAAGCTCAGGCTAAAGGAAAGCGATGGACTCAGAATACCTGGAGATTAGTAGCAGAGTTGCTTGTAATGTTTTTCTAGGCTCTTTCTAGACACCTATGTGTCACACAGTGTTGCCCAGAATTCTTCTTAAGCATCCTTAAACAGTTCTTATATGTCACCCACACCCCTTGAGAGAAGGTAGGCATATTTTCTTAGCACCTCGTGGTTCTTATGATATCCCGTACCTGATAGTGATTCCTGTAGGCCTTACCCTGCTGCCTTATTTGTGTGTCAGGACACCAGCAGTACCAGACACAACTGGCACTAATCAGGAATTCAATACCTTCTTTGTATTTGGCTCTACTTGTATAAATTACATTATATATGTATATATATATACATGCAACTTTAAAAACATATAAAATGCAAGCAGTTGAGATTGGTAAAGGTATTAAGACACAAACACAAAGAAGAGAACTAGTGTGTGTATGTTGTATGTATGCCTATGTGTCCACCCTCATTGATACTTATTTTCTTTGTTACTTCTGATGGTGCAGTTGGCCTGTTGGTGAGTTCTCTTCATTTTCTGGTTGAGATGTTCACCTATGCCTATAGTTAGTTCCTAATGGGGTTCGCTTTATGAAATGAATACCAAGTAGGTTACAGTTTATATTCAGAGATCACTCTGCCACTACCACCACAATGGCATGGGCCCCTGCTTGTACCCCCTGAATTGTGTGTGAGTCCCTTTTGTGAACAAATAAAGTAGTTAGTTACCTAAGAGCCTCCAAGGTGCTTACAGTCTGTCGTTAATCACTTTACCCGATGCAGAGTCTATGGCATACTCACTCTTTCCAAAACTGTGACCATTTTGAGGTCAAAGATGAATACTCAGTAGGGACTGAAGCCATACTTTCAAGGAAGGACACGCTGGTCTGTTTGGACAGGGGATGCATAACAGTTCCCATGGGAAGGATCCCATTAGTGAGAAAAGGAAATGTGTCTACATTCTCAATTAAAGGCTCATCTTAGCATTGCTAACAAACACCCAGGCGCAAGTAATAATAGAGCATTAGCAGAGGAACTTTGCCTCCAATAAAATGGGAGCCTGGGCATGAACCCTCACCTTAGCTGGTATGCACAAGCTATGAAAAGCCTTCCTCTCACTGCAACTTTGTCATGACTCTATTATCCAGAGAGGGTCTGTTTCCTCATTAATTAAAAATTGTCAGAAATAATATTCTCATTTCCTCCAAAAGAAATAAACAAAGGCAAAGATCAGAGAGATGCATTCCACAGAAGCTGCCCATAGAGGAATGAAGTACAAGGCATACAGCCTCGACCACAGAGGGTATCTGCCCATTGGCCCTGAGACTCTGAGGGTGTGTTCCCAATGCAAAGCCAGGCTGTTCCCATTGCAGACCCTTTCCCCATGGCTCTGAGGAAATATGCAGCCTGCTGTGTCTTTTTGTTTTTTATTGTTTGTTTGTTTGTACACCCCTGGCTCTTTTTAATTTTTTAGTTTTGAGGCATGCTCATTGTTAAAGTAACTACGATGTCCTTGAACTCACTCTGTGACTCAAGCAGGCCTTGCACTTAGGCGATTCTCCTGACTCAGCATCCTGAGTTGCTGGGACTACAGGGGTACACATTAAATTGATGTGTACAATTTAATCCTGTGCTTGATATTTGTAAATGATAGGTGCTCCTGTGGGAATTCTTCTTATGATCAATGTCAAGCTGTCTCCCATCGACCTTGTTTGAGGGTCTAGAGTCCCTAGGAAAGAAAAATTTTTCCTGTATCAGTTCTCAGTTTCTCTCATTGCATTAACACTCTCTCGGTGCTGTTTTCCCTGCTCCAAACTTCATCAGTTATAACTCTTGCCTTGTACATAGCTTTACACGAGATGATCATGACCTTCATCAGCTGCTCTTCCCAGGCTACTGCACTCACATTTCTAAAATGCAAAGAGATGTTTATGGCTTCTTGCCTTAAAACACACACTCAAGTATGACTATATATGGCATAAAACTGTATCTTTCTCATTTTGTGAATTAGTTCATGGATTAAGAGTTGATAAGTAAGCAAACTTATAGAAACATTAACGTGTGGATGGGGGCAATATCAGGGATGAGAAAAAACAGGAAGGATGCGGGCATCTTATCTCCTACAGATTCTATGCTGATAAAAGATGCTAAAGGTATAAAACTTCAGGAAAGTATCAAGTGGCCTTTGTTTTAAAAATGCTCATTTCAAGGCAGCTATTAAAAGAGAACATTTAGGCTTTACATTTTTCCTTTGGCTGTAAGCTAAGTATGAACTTGGATTATTGGAAACATATAGAAGTTATTTAAAATATTTATTTGGTCAGTTTATGTACACATATCTGAACATATGTATGTGCACTGTGTACATGCAGAACCCCAGGAGGTCAGGCAGGTTAGGAGAGAGCATCAGATACCCTGGAACTGGAGTTATAGACAGTTGTGAACTGCCACGTGGGTCTTAGGAACTGAACCAGGGTCTTTCACAAGAGTAGTAAGCGTTCTTAACCACTGAGCTACCTCTCTATCCATGTAGTCATATTCCTTATTCCCATGTAGCATGGTGCTTTGCACATATCAATCTTGTGGGAAAAAAGGTATCTCGCCAATGTGAACTTTCCACAATAAAACTGTGTTTGAAAGTGTGAGCAGTATAAAATCTATCTGCTTTAAAGAAAACATGAGTACTACAACTTTGGTTAAATTTAGGCATTCACCATTAATATTTAAGGAGGCATTGTTCAAATAGCACTGTCCCTCAGATTGCACCCTTTATTTTTCCAGATGAGGTTTCACTCCACAGCTCTGGATGGCCTTAAACTCACAATCCTCCAGCTTCAGCTTCCCAGGTGCTGGGATTATAGGCTTATTCCACCATGCCCATCTTGACACTGAACTATTTAAATTAAATTAAAAACAATATTATTTTACATATCAAGCCCAGTTACCTCTCCCTCCCATCCTCCCATCTCCCCCCTCCTTCTCCCCATCCCACCCCCCCCATTCACTCCTCAGGTAGAGAGAGGCCTCCTATTGGGGATCATAAAAAGTCTGTCACATCATTTGGGGCAGGATCTAGGCCCTACCCCATGTATTTAGGCTGGATGAGTATCTTTCCATAGGGAATGGGCTCCAAAAGCCCATTCCTGCACTTGGGATAAATACTTGTTCTACTTCCAGTGGCCCCCTAGACTGCTCACGTCCCCCAGCTGACACCCATGTTTGTTCTTATTCAGGTTCCCCAGTTGTCTGTCTGGAGCCCTAGAGCTCCCACTTTCTCAGGTCAGCTGCCTCTGTGGGTTTCCCCAGCATGGTCTTGACCCCTTTGCTCATCACTCCTCCTTCTCTACAACTGGATTCCAGGAGTTCGGCTCAGTGCTTAGCTGTGAATCTCTGCTTCTGCTTCCATCAGCTACTGAATGAAGGCTCTAGAATAGCATATAAGGTAGTCATCAATCTCGTTATAGGGGAAGGGCATTTAAGGTAGTCTCTCCACTATTGCTTAGATTCTTATTTGGGATCATCCTTGTGGATCTCTGGACATTTCCCTAGTGCCAGATTTCTCGTTATGTCCAAAACGGCTCCCTCTGTTAAGGTATCTCTTTCCTTGCCTTCCTTCTGTGGCGTACTACTCAGCGGTAAAAAAAAGCAATGAAATCTTGAAATTCACAGGCAAATGGATGGAACTAGAAGAAACCATCCTGAGTGAGGTAACCCAGACACAGAAAGACAAACACTCATAAGTGGATATTAGACATAGAGCAAAGGATAACCAGCCTACAGTCCACAACCCCAAAGAAGCTAGGAAACAAGGAGGACCCTAAGAGATATACATGACCTCCCCCCCAGAGAAAGGAAAAGGAACAAGTTTTCCTGAGTAATTTGGAAGCATGGGAGGGGAGGGAGGAGAAAAAGGAGGGGAGAAGGAGAGGGAGAAGGAGATCATGAGGGATCAGGGAGGTCGAGTTGGGGGAAGAACTCTGGATTTTAAAGCAAGGTTCTCCTTGTTTTGTACTCTCTTATTCAGCTGACAGTTACTAGCTGGTCAGGATGAGAGGAGGCTCTGTCACCAATATAAACTCTCTAAGGACAGAAATGAGGTAATGCTGAGGGATCTAAGCATTGAGAGTATCACCTGCACTTCCATTTACACAAGCGCCTCTTCATTGCACCGAACATCTCACTGTCTAGAAAGTTCTCTCTTTCCTGAGACATAAATTAGTGCATGCATAGTAAGAATGATGGTGTATACTACAGATGTTAATCTTCCACAGGACCACCCACATATTTGGAATATAAATGAAGTTGCTTCTGATTCCAGCATCCCTTTATGTAAAAGCTGCTCTGTCACTTCCTAGAAATAATGCCTTAAGACTTCTTGCAGATTCCACTAATTTCTTGCTTCTCATTTCACTGTTATTTAAGTTAAAAATACCTGTTCCTGTAGACTAATTTCTTTTACTTGAAATAATTAAAGAAACGTATCGTCTTCTCTAGAAGATCTCACTGGTACCATTTCCCTGTCAATGATCAGAGTTAAATATGATAACATAAGAACATGGGTTGCTGGCCCACAGAAATGCTTTTTTGTTTTTTGTTTTTGAAGTTTTTGTTTTGTTTTAACAAGAGAATGATGGACTCTTAGGAACATAGTCAGTTGAGATTCCCTTGGTGTATTTTATTGGCTATCTGATTGTATCTCACAGAGGATGTATCTGAACAAGTGTCGACGCCTTAATGCTGGTCCTTGCTTGCTGGGCACATATAGTCACACATTCATCCTGTCTTACAGATAATCTTCATGGCCGAATTTGAGTGAAATCAATGTGCCACGAGCTACACCAGAATCTGCAGGTCCTCGTTCCTCCAGTCTTCAGCGGTTGCCTTCTCTCTTCAGGTGACAATTCCACTGTGCCACCTCTCTAGTTGACTCTGTCTAGTGTCAAACTCTCACAGTCGTCATTATGTCAGCTTACTTTGTGTTGCTTGCTCCGAACAGTTGCTTTCTTAGCTGTCACTTTGCATTCATCTTGCCCGGAGTGGGAATGAAAGTCCTGTGAGAGCAGGCTGATACCTGGTGACACTCACTGCTGAATTCCCAGGGATTAGCATAGTGCCTAAGCACAGGTGAATAAAAGGCGTGGTGTCATTGTGCTACTCCTACACTACCCTTCCCAAGAGAAACAGAACGTAAGCCACACGTGTAGTTACCATTTCCTAGCAGTCACAATAAGAAAATGGGGGAAAACATTATTTTTAGCAATATATGTCATTTAACATGCCTCAGCTATGGTTACTTCCACATCTAATCAATGTAAGAAAGTTTCATTATACATTACACTTTTATGTTAACTCCAACTATAATATGCATTGTATACTAATAGGCATCTTGAGTCAGACTCAATTTTTTTTTCTTTTGAAATATCGATCATCATTTAAAGTTCACAAAACTTACAGTTACAAAACATTACATTGGTGTATTCAAGTTGTTCCAAACATATTTAAGATTTTTTCGTCATCAAATTGATTATAATTGGTTTTCTTTTAATTGAAATTAAGTACAATTTAAAGTAGAGTTTTACTGTCATGTTAACCACCTGGCACAAGTAGAAGAGCTTTATATAAATATAGACACATGTATTAGATGGGTTTTCTCTACGACGTGTCTAAACCATAGTGTAAGTTATAATGCATGTGCAATAAACACAATGGGAAATTCATTTGGAAATATGCTAAAGTTAGGGATCAACATAACACAATTTTGAACATTTCCAAACTTATACCTATAATAAGATGACTTATTTTACTAGAGCCTCAGTCCGAAAGATCTTATTCCGTGAGAAATAGGTGAGTTTGTGATGGCTACCTAAATGTTCATATAATAGCCTATAGTGGATGAACGTTATTACCATGCCATTAGAAGATGCAATTAAAAATTGGCACTGTAAGCTAATGCTATCAAACTTTTATAGTAGCTTATTTTCCTACAGAAAATCCCTTGTTTGCAGTATCCCTTTCCCTGGACATTTTTGAGATACTGACATGGGCTTGGAAGTCTATCACATGCTCAGCAGGTACTTCTCAGTAAGGCACAGTGTAGCAATCCATCTCTGTCCCATACCCTGAAATGTGGGTATGCTCACAGGCATGTGGTACACGAGAGCTTATTCCGTCATTTGGGTATGAGGCAGGGAGATTGAAAACCAAGATTATTTTATAAAGTTAGCTCAGGTTAGTCATTGTGTAAAGAAGAAAACAGGTTTGCCAACTTGTGACATTACTTCTGATCATTTACATAAGGCCACACTCTTTATATCTGCATAAATTTAAAACTTACAATATATTTCAGAAACAGGATGAGGAACATATTTTGGATTGGGGCCCATCTTTAAGGGGTCTATAAAAATCAATACTGTCTAGTTATTTAGGAAATAGGAGGAATGAGGCTTAATTTTCAATTTAATTAAATCTGTAGTCTAGATTCCTGAGCAATGATATGAATGAACTTTTAATACATATTAAATATTTGAAATTACAAATCTAGGCCACTTTGACCAGGATATGGTGGACACACCTTTAATCACAGCACTCCAGAAGCAGGGACAGGTGGTTCTCTGTGAGTTCAAGAACCGTCTGGATAGTGAGTTTCAGGACTACCAGAGCTGTGTAGAGAGACACTGCATCAAAAAAAGAAAATCTAGGGCACTTTCAAATGTTATTGTTTATTTTGTTATAATTTCTGAAATGGCACAGTCTTAACAAAAGAGCCATTAGGACTAAGAATCTCTAAGGTAGCCTTGATTTCCTTAACCATAGAAGAACTAGGCACATTATTGCCCTATTAGTAAAGTAAAAACTCAAAGTGTGTCTCAAGGTAATTGTCTCCTCCACAATGAGGTAAATACATATGGAATAATAGGGGGAAGTTGAATGCACTAAGCATTTAACAGTCAAAACAGGAACGTTTAAAATACTCTGTTCATAGTTAAAAATAAGTTGTACTCTAAGTCCAGTGATCATTGCCAGGCAGAACCAAAGTTGAGAAATTTCTATTAAAAACATGACTCAGAGGAAAAAATACAGGAGCTAGCAATGAAGGAAATGACCTGGGGCCAACCCCCATTAGTCCCTCCTATAGTCACATGGCAGGGACATCTTTAAAAGGGAGTGATCTGGACTCAAGAGTATCATAGCACCTTCCCCCCTCCTGCAGCCTCTTTCTCACCTGGAAGAGAAACCTCAGAAGGTTCACAAGATGTGTGACGCCTTTGTGGGAACCTGGAAACTGGCCTCCAGTGAAAACTTCGATGATTACATGAAAGAAGTGGGTAAGTGCTGTGGGGGATGGGTAAGTGCTGGGGGGTGGGGTTCACTGCTGGGGAGAGGGCTTGTAGCCTGCTTCCAGCTTGGTGGCAGCTGCTGAGAGAAAGGCTGTTCCTGCTTGGAGGCTGTAGAAGCTACAAGAAAGAGCCTGTCCTAGAAGCCTCCTGGATCAAAGGTTCAACCTAGTGCTTCCTTCAGGTGTTGCCTTCATTGCCACACCTGTGCTGATACGCTTCACTGGGCTCTGTTTCTATCATCTCCTTTTACATGAAAATTTTGCAATAACTCGGAAAGAAAAATACACTTTTTTATAGCACGGAGTAAATTTTACTTAAAACTGAAGCCATGACATTGCCCATCTTAGAGAAAAAGAAATCACATCAGAAATATATTTTAGCAATTATTTTTTTTCTGTCCCAACATCACACCAGACAAATGCTTGACTTCAGGAAATATTTTTCTTCAGGGGGTTAAGCATTCATTGGTTTGGAATGATATGGGATGTCATAGATTTAGGGAGTAATTCAAAAGAAAAGTCAGCATGTGAGACACATATAGAACCTGCCTTTCAGATAGCAGAGGTTATATATGATTTAGGTTCTGTCAACACTGCCCGCATGTGGCCGTGTGAGTGGTCATCAAACAACGTTGGCAGCAATGCAGTGGCCACCAACCAATGATGCACTTTCTCAGAGAGCTTGTGCCTTGAACCCCTTCTCTCTATGACTTCCATAAGGTCAGACCCCATATTACAGAGTGTCTTCATTAGGATGGAATCCCCTAAATTTCCAAAGGCTTAACCTTTCCCTCAGTTATACGGTGGGAACTTCTGGTTATCTGTCAATGTTGTTCTTCTGTTTGTAGATAAGAAGAATATCAGTACTTTCAGCATGACTGACCTTTTAGCATACTGGCTAGGTACAGTTTAGTATGCTAATTCCCATGTATTGCCCCAGAAACACCAGGGTTTGAACCACTTTTGGCCACTGACTTTTTGAAACATTTTGAACTTGTGATATTCATGTCTAAGTTATAGTAACACATTAAATTGTGAAAGACTCATAATTAAAGGCAATAAGGTATTGCCTGAATGGAACTGGCAGCTATAACTGAGGCTCAGTGGGCAGGTATTGCTTTCGGCAGTCAAATAAAATCAAAGAAACAAGTGAAGCTTCATTTTTCATGGGTTCAGTCCCTCTGGAATCATCTTCCACACTGCGTCTCTTCCCTGTGCTGACTGATGTTGGGTTAACACTGTGTCTCTTCCCCGTGATGACTGATGTTGGGTTAACACTGCATCTCTTCCCCGTGATGACTGATTATACTGAATGTTGGGTTATGTAGCAGAGTGAGGGTTCAAGGCAGAAATACATCATTTTCTCACTGGGACTGCTTGTGAGACAGAAAACGAAGTCGCAGGCTCTGCATCACTTATCTTGTGCTATGTTTCTCAGGTCAGCCTTAATTTAACCCGTGGTCACTTCTAGTCAAAGAAATAACCTTAAGCATTTACATCAGAAAAGTTGGCACACCAGTGACTGTAGGAATTCTGTGTAACATACACAGACAGGGCAAGTGGATCCTGTTCATCTAAGGCTGTAAGTTGCTCACCCTCTATGGGAAAGCATTTCCCTCATTTAAGCAAACAAGACCCTACAACTTGAGTGACTGAGATGCAAAGTTAGTTTCCAAACTATTCTAAACAATGGAATTCTGATTTCTTGAGTTCTAAAGGTATTTAGTGAGTTCCCCTTTAATTTTCCTTACACATTATTGGGAATGATGTTGCCACTCTAAAATGGCATGGCAAGTAGGAAGCACTTTTCCTTTTAGAGAAATTAATCGGAGATCTTCATTTCATAAGGGAGTAATATGGGAAGGAAGTCTAGAAAATCACACTTGGCAACAAATGCTGTGATATGTGGTTTCTGTACACTCAAAACAGACAAACCTTTAGCCCACTAATTCTACATCAGGCCTGGTCTCTGGCTTTAGATTCTTTTAAAACACAACTTTTAATATTTAAGAAAGAATGAAATGATCAAATGGTCTCAATCAGAAACCTGAAATAGAGATAGCATACACACACATATATTATTATAGGTATACTATAGATATACTGACATATATCTAAAACACATACACATTGAGGTATGAAGATTCAATCTCTTTATAGATTATGTTGAAATCAATGAGTCTCCTGAAGCAGAGAAGGGACAAGTCAAGAGTGAATCTGGATGAGTTGTTCCTGAATGCATCCTCGGGGATTAGGGCCAACATGCTTAGCTGCTTAGCTTGTTTCAAAGGAGCCTCAAGTAATCTGGCATCTTTTTATTCATGAACACAAAAATGTAAGCTTGCCATGTTTTCCCTTCCTAACTCCAGGAGTGGGCTTTGCCACCAGGAAAGTGGCTGGGATGGCCAAACCCATCATGATCATCAGTATGAATGGAGATGTGATCACCATCCGAACAGAGAGCACATTCAAAAACACTGAGATGTCCTTCAAACTGGACCAGGAATTTGATGAAATCACTGCAGATGACAGGAAAGTGAAGGTGAGGAACAAGGAGCTGGGTGCAGGGTGAGAGCCTGGCTTCTGACACCACAGCCTACAAGATATGATTTCAAGACAGCGAAAGGAAAAGCTTTCCATTGTAGTGGGGAGGCCTCTGAGCTCCCACAGCTAAACTGTGGCCATCAGAGTGCAGATGATGCATTACTAAGTTGTCCTTATAGTAAAACTGATTAGCATACTTTGTGTGTCATACAATAGTGTGTGTGTATGAAGTAAATTAGAGCAATAAAATTTTAGAGGAATTTTATGTTTTTGGTTATGAGCCTAGCCTTTAATGGCTGAAACACTCCTCCAGCCCTAGAGGAATTTTACCAAAGAATAAAAATTGCCATAATGCCACCACCTCAACATAGTTTTATTATCTAGTTTCTTTCACAATACATTCTTTTATCAAATTTTATGTTCTATGTGTTCTATTTCTATTGAGAATATACAAGTAGATATACATATATATGAGCTCTACATTATTGTTTTCAAGATGTCTTTCTTTCTCTCTCTTTGTCTTGTTGGACTACATTCTTGTCTCTTAGAGTAAAGACCTCAGAATATTTCTTTGAACAAAGGCGCCATGTTTTCAGTCTTACTTTTGGCCTTCATATGCAGATGGCAACTTCTTTTCACTGTGCCCACAGAGCATCATCACCCTAGATGGCGGGGCCCTGGTACAGGTGCAGAAGTGGGACGGGAAGTCGTCCACCATAAAGAGGAAGCGTGAGGGTGACAAGATGGTGCTGGTGAGTATATTCTGCATAATTAGCTGTAGACCCACCCTCTGGGCCTCAGGACCACTGCTGTTCTTTAGCAAACTCACCTGCTTGTGCAGAACAAAGGCTCATTTGCATATTTGCGTATTTGGAGCTGAGGGTGGGATCTGGATTCTTGCACTTGCCTGATGTGCTCTGCCCTGTTTGAGCTACTCCCCCATACTCTCATGCAGTCATGCTTCACCCAGGCATGTTTTCCCCTGATAACAGTCCCTGCTTCCTCTCCGGTGTCACAGGCTGCCTGGTGCAATACCCTCACCAGCATGCATTCTATTCTTCTGCTGACAGTACCCACTTACCATCAAGGTTTTCCAGCTCCCTGAGAGGAAGACCTATATCTTCTTGGTCTTTGCATTACTCTAACCAATTACACTCAGGGATGGATGTACAATACAAACACAGAATTCTAGAACATGCTGGGGTTTTTTTCTGTTGAATATTATTTGCTTCCCAACATTGGGAGACACAAAAACTAAATGCATGCTGTTGTCTCAGTGATTGACCTTGAAAATTTTGTGCCTGTGTCTAGGAATGTGTCATGAACGGTGTCACTTCTATCAGAACTTATGAGAGGGTGTGAACCAAGGAGAGTGGCACTGGACTGAAATTTACATCGAACTCTACAACACTCGGTTGGATGTATTGTTTTTAAAAAGATAGGATTTTTCACTGATTAGCAAACAACTAATTTTTCCTGAAGCTGGATGTTATTGAATATGGTTGTGTTGGATAAATAAAAAAAAAACCTTTTTAGATTTAGAAAGTGGTGTAATGGTATTTTTATTGTGTATTCTATACACAATTGAGTGAAGAGAATAGAAAAATTGCATTATAATGTTGGTTCTGAAAGAAGTAATGAAGCCTATCATAATATTGCATGGTAGAAAAGTTAGTAGTGTCCATGAACTTCCCTAGATAAGAGACAGAATACAGGAACCAAGATTGAATATTAAGCCCTACTTTAACCTACCTAAAATTAGAAGCTATCTATCCAAGACCCAGGGTAATTTTAAACAAATTATCCACATCCATGTGATTCAAGCATGCACATTCATATCAGCACACAATGTTGTAGAAAGGAACTCTAGTCTCCCGTGTGTGTGTGTGTGTGTGTGTGTGTGTGTGTGTGTGTGTGTGTGTAAGAGAGGAGAGAGATAAATTTTTACTGAGTAGTCCAGGCTGGTCTTGAACTGAAAGTATTCTGCCTCAGCCTCTTATGTTGCTGCGATTATAGTCATGTACCACCATGCTCAGCTGGTCTCAAATTTTCTGCCTAAAACAGGTGATTTAGTCAGCCTTTCATTACTATAATAAAACATGGAGGATGTTTGCTTTAAAAAAATAAATTGAATAAATTGCTGGGTAGTGGTGGTGCATACCTTTAATTCCAGCACTCCAGAGGAAGAGGCAGGCA